CTTCAAAGTTATTGTGAACTACCTATTCTAGAGGTGGCATGAATCAGATGTGGATACTAAAACATTTACATATAATCTAAGACTTTTTCATCTTGCAATAGTATTAAACATTTGAATTTTCTACACTTTACACAAGTATTCCCCATTCCAAACTAATAGTCAAATTGAAAAAGTTATCCTGCTTTGTTTCATAAAATAGAATGACTAGCGTAGATACAAGCATCTTGATAAGGGAGGGATAAATCGTACTTTCTAAAAAATCACTCTGATTCTAACATAAAATTCTCTGAAACTTACATTATCAAGATGCTTGATTTCTTGATTGAAAATATGTTTGTTACGTTTGGAGGACGTGTTTTTCAACAAACAATCGGCATTCCCATGGGAACCAACTGTGCTCTTCTTTTTGTCGACTTATTTCTTTATTCATATGAGGCTGACTTCATATAGGAGCTTCTTAGGAAGAAAGAAAAGAAGTTAGAATTATCATTTAACTTCACTTTCCGCTATATAGATGATGTTCTCTCACTAAATAATTCAAAGTTTGGTGACTATGTTGAACACATTCCATCGACCTTTAAACAAAGGATATAACAGATACAGTTAAGTCTGCCTCATATCATGACTTACATTTAGAAGTTGACAATGAGGGTCGGTTGAAAATTTTACGACAAAAGAGATGATTTCAGCTCCAAATAGTGAACTTTCAATTTTAAGTAGCAACATTCCAGCAGTGCCTGTATATGGAGTATATATCTTCCAGTTGATCAATTGATACGATATTCCAGGGCTTGTTTTTTCTATCATGATGTTTTTGATAGAGGATTGCTGCTCAAAACGAAGCTATTAAACAAAGTGGCGAAGTTGAAATCATCCTTTCGTAACTTTTACGGACGCTATTACGAGTTAGTTGTCCGTTATGGAAAATCTGGTTTACAGATGACGACGGATATGTTCCAATTGTCGTAACGGCAATCCCGTCCTCTTTTCCCCGAATGTAACCTACTGAATAAGTCTTATCGCCGGGTTTGTATTTACATGAGCAACACGACGGGTGCCACATGTGGAGAAGGATCTAATAACCCTTCCGGAGCACCTTAGATCACCCCCAGTTATTGGTGGGGTTCGTGTTCCTTAGTCTTTAGTTTTGTATGTTGTAGTTTGAATGTCCCTTTCTTATCTCTCGCCTCTCTTATCCCATTTTTAAGTAACAACATACCATATACCCCTGTTCATGGCGTTTGTAAAAATATAGTTTATTGAGCTTATCTAACAGAGGTAAACGATCAACTAAAAAAACTACTCAGGCAGGGTTAAGATGAAAAACGACTGGAATTATTCCACTATAAGATCTAATGTAGACATTACACTTGTTCGGTTTAGCCATAACAATATCTATACGGTAGCCATTAGAACTTCTACAGTAGCCATCAAAACTTCTACGGTAGCCATTATCAGATCTACGGTAGCCATCACAATATCTACGGTAGTCATTACGTGTTTTGCGGTAGCAAGATCTACGGTAGGATTCAGGAGATCTACGATAGCTTTCACAAAACCTGCTGTAGCTATCGCAAGATTTACGGTAACAATCAAGAGATTCATAGTAAAAATCACCAGATCTACATAGCCATCACAAGATCTGCGATAACCAACAGGAGATCTACGATAAACATTTCAAGATCCACAATAATAATCACAAGATCTACATAGCCATCACAAGATCTTCGGTAGCCATTACAAGATCTACTGTAGCCATCACGAGATCTATAGTAGCAACCATAATATCTATGGAAGCCATCACAATATCCACGATATACATCACAAGCTCACCGATAGCTACACAAGAGTCATGGAAGCAATCACAAGATCTATAGAAGCAACCACAAGCCATCGCAAGATCCACGATATACATAACAAGATCACAGGTAGTTACACGAGATCTACGGTAGCAATCTTGAGAAGGCTTATTTTTACAGCGCCACAGCTTCCCAACCTTAGAGTTCATCCCCCGTTCTTGATTTGGTGTTTTTTCTATTAAGTTTGTCTTTTCGTTGTTTTTCCGTTTGGTTGTCTATTCGTCGTTTTTTTTTTACTTTTGATTGTGTTATTGTCTGTTTTTCTTGGATACATTTTTTTTCTATTGACTTCGAACCATTCGTAACGTCCCACCTTTTTCAGTATTTTGGCTCTATCATAGATTTCAATCTCTAATGTCATTTTTACATTGATATTGTTGATGTCATATTTATAATGTCGATAACTGCTACTACATGTAACTTAGAATCTTGATGAGTGATACTGTATTGGAATATGTTTCCTTTTTTATTCAGCTGGTCTCGCTCCGTTTAAAGTATAATAGTTTTTTTTTATTCTTATTTTCATGTTTTTTCCGGTTTCCCCCCTGACTAATGGGATATTTACTGAACGTCGGTTTACTATCTTTTAAAACAAACCCACTGTAGTCCAATGTAACTAGGTTAAACGTTCCACGAAAAAACCAGATACTTTACACAAATACAAGTATAATCAAGTCATAAATGATATCATATAATAGGTTTTTGTCAAATACAGATATCAGATGATATCTGTATTTTACAAAACCTTTCGGAATTTAGGATTCTCAACGCTCTTACTATATTTGGCCATTTTAAGCGTCACTGATGAGTCTTTCATAGACAAAACTAGCGTCTGGCGTACAAAATTTTAATCCTGGTATCTATGATGAGTATTATCACAATCGCTAGGTCGATGCCAATGCTGGTGGAAGTTTCTTCCCCGAGGGTATCACCAGCCCAGTAGTCAGCAGTTCTATGTCGTCACAGAATTATCGTTAATATCGTTATGGTCATAAGTATAGATTAACTTTTTACAAAACACTTTTCAAAATTCTAAGGATTTTCTACCCTAGGAATACATTTCCTTAACAGTATTTGACAAAACCTTTCGGAAGTTTTGAGACCTCAATACTCTTCAATCTCTTACTTTATTTGGCCCTTTTAATTTTTTTTTCATTCAAACGTCATTGCTGAATCTTTAATAGACAAAACGCACGACTGGCGTACACAACTGTAATCCTGGTATCTATTATGAGTTTATTATTATACAATAATTCCATAATGATCTGTTCAAAAGAACCAATAAATCCCAATTCTGAGCCTGTTTCTATCAAACTTTCTAGATCATGACTTAAACTGTCAATTTAATAGTATAATGTTGCTTAATAGTGGGAAGATAAATGTGCACAGTTATTTTATTGATTATACAAATAAACTTCTCTGTACGATTTAGTGTACCTTATGCGCGCTGAAATGATGCCCTCTACTTATATTTAGAATTTGATAATAAATTCAATTCGAAATACAAAAGAAATGAAATCACCCCTTCCTTAATCAATCTAAAAAAAACACCACATTTTGTAGTACAGTAGATGTTTTCACCCTTCAACATATCAGACACATTTCGATTTATCTATGATTAAAGCCAAAGGTTTTGCATTTGCCTGTAAAGAAATACTATAGAAGTTTAATTAGCAATCGATTTTTATTTGATATAGTAGTAAATTTAGTCTACATAAGTTTACAGATGTTCAATCTCATAAATCGAGGTAACAAGCAAAAACTGCGAAAAACGCAAGAACTCTAAAAAGAGTGATCCCTGGTACGTCGACAGGATAAGTGTCTCCTGCTATTTATGCATCATCGGTTAATCGGACTAAAAAGTTGTGGTCAAATTGTTAGAAAATAATAAATTTTATATGTTTGATTGACTTTAGAGTTGTCTATCTTTCAGTACTTTCTACTTTCGGATTAACTACACATACATAATGTTTAAAAAGAAGCAAATAAAGATGACGGTCGCCACTTTGTTTTTACAACAGAGATGATAGCTAAAAGTAAATTTATTTTCTTCTGTCCTATCCTGTTAATTTTTATAAGAAAAGAAAATTGAAATAGTGAGAAATGAATGTTGGGTATTGGTGTAGAAAAAGCGCGAAATTTGGAGGAAACTGTTGGTGATGAACAAAATATTATGTTCAAAATTAGCAATGGATGTTTTTCATTCGTACTATATCTAAAATTCTGGAACCGTAGAGTACCCTTAAAAATAATTTTCAATTAAAAAAAGCTGCATCACCATACGTGTTTTGCCACTGTATTCACAACCAAAGGTGTTAAAAATTTTGAATTTGACAGTTTTTTTCAACGGATTTTTAATAGTGAAAACGCAAAACCTTAAAAGCTACCATTGTCGCCTATGCAAAAAATTACTTCCTTATAACCATGTTAACGTTTAAAAAACATACTAAATTAAAGCCTTTTTAATTACTCATAAAACATGGAAATATAAAATATTGATTTAATATAACTGAAATGCAACACAATAAAATGTGCTGTTGCTCTGGGACGTATTGTGTATTGCGAACTTATCAAGTAAATCATTAAACATGCACCTGATATTTTAATTGGTAATTCTATCTTATTTAAAATGTATCCTGGTATAAAAGCAGCATGAATCATTTGAAGAATAACAACTATGATTGCATGTTGAAAATAATAATCTTCAGTTTTACCACCGATTGAGCACCAACGTCAGTAATGAGCAACACGACGGGTGCCGCTAGTGAAACGGGATCTTCGTACTATTCCAGAGCCCCTGAGATCCACACAGATTTTGGTTGAGTTCGTGTTGCGCATTCTTTAGTTTAATATGTAGTGTTTTGTAGACTTTTGTTTGTCTTGATGTCGTTTTTGAAAATCTTTTTTCTAGGACTTTTTTCGATTGTCAATTTGGTATCTTCTTCCTTTTTTCTTGACTCAAATCTTGTAGTTGAAAAGATGCTTTCGTACACATCTTTCAGTTTCAGACTTTTCAATTCAACCAGTGCGCATTCGTTGGTAATACTGAAGATTATTTTCAACATGTAATTATAATTACTAATCCGTTCAATTTAGTTCATGTTCTTAAAAACCAAAGTAAATTGATAAAATGTTACTCACCTTCCGTCATGATGTTAACGTGTGTTAAAGCAATCTAAAATATATAAAAAAAATAAGTTAATGAGACATTGTAATTTCATTATATTAATTGGATTATTTGATTACTCCTCGGGAGCACCTGAAATTACCCCCGTTTTTTTGTGGGGTTCTTGTTGCTCAATCTAGTTTTCTATGTTGTGTTTTGTGTACTGTTGTTTATCTTTTTGTCGTTACGTTTTTTTGCCATGGCATTGTCAGTTTGTTTTTGACTAATGAGTTTGCACATGCCTTTGGTATCTTTCGCTTCTTTTTTGCAACAAAGTTGTAAGTTTATATTGCCACAACTTAAGAACAAGGAGATGTATTTTCATTGCAAATGCAGATCCCCAGCTATTGACTAAAGACCAAGCATGTTACATCAACAGATTATCGTAATATTTACAAGGTACGAAAAGCTACAAAATAGGCCGATTAAGGTAAAATTGCAAAACAATTTATAGATCAATAAAATCTGTCTTGGTGCTCATGCTAATACCATTCCGTTGGTAGTTTAATTTGGAAGGTCACATTCGAGAAAAAGAAGACGTTATTGAGGTTACGACAATTTAAACATATCCGTCGTAATCTGTAGCCAACTCGTCATGGGGTCAATAAAGTTTTGTATTGTATAACTGAACTTTGATATATTAGATATTCGGCTGCTTCAATCATGCCAAAAGAAAAGCCTGTGTTGTTTGATTGATATACCATTCATGCTGACCACGAATACGTGATAAAAACAATGAGATCTTATCCTTCAACTAAACAATGATGCAAATGTAATGAAACAAACAATAGGTAAAATTAAATCGACGGACTTCAGTCATCACTGAGATATTTTCGCCAGCACCACCAAGAAAAATACCCAAATGTACATAACAATGAGATTCAAAGCAAAATGCTGTGTGGATGCGGTAAAATGTGTCCCCGTGCTTATGGTGTATGCCCTTATATTTTACAGTTATTGGCACTCATACCACATCTCCTCATTTTTATAAAGCAACCAAAGGTGTTGAAAGTTAAGAGTTTGACATTTTTCAACGGATTTTTTTATGGTGAAAACGCAAAACCTTAAAAGCTACAATTGTCGCCTATGCAAATAATTACTACCTTATACCCTGTAAACGTTTAAAACACAAATTAAACTAAAGCCTTTTAAATTACTCAGAAAATATGGAAATATGAAAAATTGATTTAGTATAACTGAAATACAATACAATTAAAAGAGTTGTTGATCAGGGACGTATTATGTATCGATAACTTATTAAGTAAATCATTAAACATGCACTCTCTTTTTTAATCATAGTAAGGCTAGTTAAAAGCACAGAAGGATAAGTTGTAGAAAACTTCATAGAAACCAAGATGGAAAGATATTTGACGTTCTATATTGTGTAGTTTAGGTAACTAAAAAATAGTAGTGTGCTTCTAATATTCAGATGAGGCCTTAAGATACAATGGGGTAGTGACATGGTTGGTTACTTTTTGTCCCTTTGTGTGAGCTCCAGGGCTTGAAGGTAGAAGAATTTATAGTTTCATTCTTGTGTAGCATTTACGTCACACCACTACCACTTTGTTGGCTGCTTAGTGGGTGCAACTTCATACAAAACGCTTTGCGAGTACTTGAACTTTGTTTTTAATACTAGAAATAAGCATGTTTCTTACCCTTTTATCTTCATGAAACAACATGAGAACACACTATCAAAATATTGTTTGAAAAAGCTTGACTCATCAAATTGGCACTTAGCACAAAAAACATCCCAGACAAACAAAAAACGCAAAATACCGATGTAAGAGTAGTTGCAGTTACTGAAAGCTAGTCCAATGCCAAATCCAACTATAAATAATCCTTGTTTCCCCAGGCTAAAAGCTTAATCAATACACATCATGATTGGTGTAAAGACGTCATAAAAACAGACCGAGAAAAGCATGAACAGCTATTAAAGAATAAAGACAAGGATTTAAGTAATTAGCGGTAACCAAATGTCTGACTTTTTTGCTTTTTTCATATAAGATGCGTAGTCAGTCTAGAATTACGACACGACATTTAAATGCCAGTCATGAATTGTTAATGTATAATCACCACTCTATAAATGTTAATTCTAAATCAACACGATACAATTAGTTCTTTCTCCACATCAACTCAGTATACAAAGTTCATCAATTCATCAACATCCTTCACGGTGAGTGAAGCTGAAATGCTCTTAAAATAATTAACTCCATTATAAGGTCTTTCCACTTTTCTGTGGAAAGACCTATTGTTTTTGTTCTGATTATTATTATTATTTTCTTATGCCAAATTTTATTTTCGCGTAACATTTTTGTTTCGCAATATGTCGCTAAGATATTTCTTATATAGTATCATACAGTTTATGCGCTTTTTATTTTCACCCATTCTAAGCCGAACAATTTTCTTTGTAAGAGTTATCTCCCCAAACACTGTTTTTCTTGTGACTACATCTACTCCGTAACGGCAAAAGAAAGCGACAAATTTATTTTATAAAATTGCTCGTTATATCCTTCGCATGATTTGTCCTATTTGACCGAAGCGATATGAACATTCCATATGAGAGTTATTTCCCCTTATGCATGTGATATAAGTAATATGCATTTCTAACTGGTAAACCATAAGTGATAGAGACCTAGGGTCTTTTGATTTGAGGTCCTTGGTCCAAAAAAATGAAAATTAGGTCAAGGTCAAAGGTCAAGGTCACATTCTAAATTTTGATTTTGGCTTATTTTCACTTACTTCCAAAAACCGTACAAGATATCGACAAAATATTTTTACTAAATTGTAAGTTGCGACATGTCGTAACACATGAATTTTGGTTGAAAGGGTACGTTGACCGTAAAAGAGAGTGTTCTCCCTTTTTATATTTAAAATTACATGTATGGTGGTATAACTCATTTACCAAGTATAATAAAGACCTAGGGTAATATGATTAAAGGACCTTGGTGTGTGACCTTGAAATTGAGCTCAAGGTCAAAGTTAAATTTGATGTTCTAGATTTTGACCTTTGCTTTAACTTCATATTTAAACACGATAAAGCCATGGAACTTTTTTTTATAAGTTGCAATTTACATGACCTTGAAAAGCCAACCGGAAGTGACCTTGTGTACACTGGAAATAGCTTTGTTTTGTACTTATTTGATGTAAAGTGTATTGAACAATATATTTTTGGAATCAGTATCAAGTAAACTATCAAAAAAAAAGCGGAAGTGACATATTTCAAACCGGAAGTAACAATTTATCTCCTTTATTTAGAAAAAAATGTATAGAAACCATATATTTTTGGAATCAGTTTACAATAAGCTATCATTTGACGCTGGATATGATATTTCAAACTGAATTTTCATAGTTCTATTTCAAAATTGATCTGTATGGGTGGAAAGACCTTCAATTGTTCTCTGAACAATTGGTTTTTAATTTTATATGCTCTATTACAAAAAAAAAATGACACTTCCTTCAATTTTAATAAGGAAACTAGTTAAAAAAACCAGAAAGATTAGTTGAAGGACACTTATTAGAAGCCGAGAGTAAACGATATTGGATGTTTTGTATGTAGTTTAGGTAGCCAATACATAGTAGAGGCTTTCAAATGTTCAGAAGAGACCTAAAGATGTGGTAATGATATGATTGTCTAGAACGTAAGTATCAGTGTAGGTGTAATACCACCAAATCATAGTACGTCACATCCAGTTGCATACGAAAAAGGGTCGAAAAAAAATATTCCCTTGAATTTGACAGTTGTAGGTAATTAATCCTACATTTCATTGCAGTAAAAAATGTCTGGGTCATAAACATATATCTTGGGTATTTCAAAGCACCATTATGTTTTTATTTTGGGTTTCTATAGAATATTTTGGAGACTTGAGGTTACATGGTTACTAAAGCTTGTACATGTACACAGGTAAAAAAGAGGTGACAATTTGATAGGTTAACTTCCCGTGATGGTTATTTTCTTATATGCAATGAAATGTTATGTGAAATTTTGTCTAGAGTACTGGACAGGATAAAATTTACTCATGCCAAGTATTTCTTCATTTGAAACAAAGATGAATTCTGCACAATTTTTGAAAAGTGCAAATTTAACAAAGACTAATAGGGGAAAATCAATGGTGGTATTACACCTGTAGCACAAGGCATTGAAAGTAGACGAATGTTTCTTTTCGTGTAGTATTCTTCCGTAACTCTCTTACCTGAAACAGTAAGTTTACAATGTTAACCTGACTGGACGTAACTCGGAATGATAATATCTGGCATATTGTTAAATGAAAAAAGGAAATAAAACAACATTGTGATTAAAGGAAGTAGTTTAAATGAAAGGTTAAAATTAACGATATCTCGAATTTGTTCGAAAACCAGTGTTGATCGAAAGTTTTTATAAAAGTTTTGTTCATTGCACATATGAATTATTTGCAAAAGTCCACTGTACGCACTTCTATACTTGAAACTCAAGCACCGGGGGACATTTGAACCTATTCATTAATTAGATAAAGAAAGAAAAAGGTAACCACATCATGATGTATATATCACCAGAATAGCTCATACCTTCTTTTTATGATTAATAAGTCTTTACGAAATTCAAGAAGGCAAACCAATGTCAGGTATTATGAATAGGTTATAGACATTTGACTTGGCAACCAATCATATACACCTCAGACAGTTACTAAATAGTAAATTCCTTAGTCTGGGTTATTGTTTTTTGAATTTTAGCCAAAGATGAAGAACTGGATCTTCCTTTTCTCTATTAGGTACCCAAAATACACAAATGTACTTAAAAAGAATGTTATATTACTGGGTCTGTCAAATGCTTTACGAAATCTATTAAAAATTATTAACATTAATATCATCAGCAAGCAAAGCTGGGCTTCAAAATTACTGTGAAACATCCGACTTAAGGGTGTATATCAGATGCTAATATTCATTGAAAGAATAAGTCAAAATTCAAATTTGAAAAAGGGACAAATTATAATTTAAAAAAACCACTGTGATCCAAACAAAACGTTTTCTGAAAC